TGGGTAGGACTAGTGTTTGTCAGGAAATATTTCTGTTTCATTTCAACTGGAGCACAGCAGCAAAAAAGAAAGAAAATTTTCTAGGAAAAAAAAAAACCCACCTCTTTACCTTTTCAGGAGTTCTGATCATTTTATTCTTAAAAAATTAAGATAATTCTATTCCATTTCCAAACAATATTTTTCAGCAGAGGACTTGTTTAAAAAAAAACATTAGTTTTCAGATCAACCATCCATCTTAGATATTGTTAAATAATCACGTTTCAAAAGAAGGGGCAGTGACATCCTCTACCTCTCTAAGATTTTTGAAATCACATTATAACCCACTAGTTGCATGCGTAGTACTATTACAAAACTGACTTCCTGCATGGCTCCCAAGGGTAAACCCAGCTAAAAAAAATAAATCTTTCAATCATTAAGAAAAAACCTTAACACAGTTAAAAACATATATACACACACTCTTTTTAATGTAAGAGCGACGGGTGGCTTCTAGTCTATGTGTTGTTTTTTCTTTAAAGACTAAATACCGACAGCATGATACGCAGAGCCTTCACAATACAAGCTGTTTTTCCCCTCTATAGTCAGCTTTGGGTCCGTTGTCCTTATCTCAGAGACAGCTCAGAACGTGATTTTCCAGCTGCTGACAGAAAGCAGTCTCAAGCTGCAGAGAGGCCCACGTCTCAGAGACTGGTCATGGTGGTTTGGACAGCATAGGCACCCGCACCGCCATGGATTCCCGCGTTCTTCACATTGCGCTCATGGACAAAAGCGGTGTACTGTCCGGCCGCAGCGCGGGTCCTCGGCGGGGCCCACGCGTCCCACTGGCTTCCACCACGGTGACAGCGGTCAGCAGCGTCAGGGGGCCTGGATCATTGGGGAGCGGGAGGGGGCACAATTAGTAAACAGGTATGGACGTGAAAGAGGGCGGAACAGCAAAGCTAAAGACAAGAAGACTGATGAGAAAAGGGCATTGCTGGAAGGTAAATACTGAAGGAAAGAGGCATGCAAGTATACGTGGTGTACATGACGACACTGTCAAATAAACCCCTTTTCTGCTCAATATCCTACACATTTTTGCAGGAGTCTGAAATGACAAGCTAAGCTATCCCATGTACACATTGTCTACATTTACCAAATGCAAAGCACTTCAAGTTTCAAAGCACTTCACAAAAGCGAGCAAGAACCATGCTCGTTTTACAGATGGGAGAAAATAATGTGATGGAGGAACAGACCTCCCAAGCATACAGCACATTTTATTTGCAGGTAGCTGAAAAGGTTTAAGTGGCAGCTTTAAATGTACACCTGAAACAAGCATCTATAGCCAACTCCAGTCTCCAAAGTCACTGGAAAATGTAGGTTCTAACGTAAGTTTAAAAAAAAAAGAAGAAAATAGAAACTCGGAGAAGTAAGCATTACCATGCAAGAACAAACAGTAGAGCACCCATAAATTATTCACAATTTAGTTGACTAAGGGACTAAACACCACTGAAGCAGCTGACTGTAGCTATACTTGATTAACATAAAAAACTTAGTTGGAAAAAGAACCATTTTTAAAAAGGTCACAATACAAATTAAGACCCTGCTTTCTAATTTGGCATACGAAGGCACAATAGTTCATAAATTTAAAATTTTGAATTCTTAAAATCAAAACCACAGAAATGCTGTGCACAGTTATGGCTAGCCCAGCCACAGTTGGAACAAAGTTCTCCAAACGCTAGCGAGAGGACCAGGGGAGAACACTCCTCATTTTAAACAGTGTTTTGAAAAATACTTTTATGCAGGGGCTCTTCGCTAGACAACTGTAAGGCTTTAAGCACAAGCATCTCCAAAGCAGCAGGGATACGCAAGTTACTGAAACAGCTGAATTCTAAAAGACTTTAAAAAATCGACAATGATCTATTAACTGCTGTCTGTGTTGTACCAGGATCCTTCACTGATATGTTTTAGCAGAGGCTGATGCAAGGTACAGTCAGGTATCAGAAAAGTGCTTGAAAAAAAGCACTCTCTCATAAACTACTCGAGCAAGAAAATTCCTAAAACAAACATATTCCTTCAGTTTAATGTAAAATTCTCCATTTAATGACCCAAATCTAAACAAAGTAGAAACATTGCTGCTGTTCATCTAGAGGGGTCCTGGACAGCCCCCAGCTCAAATTCCAGCTTCTCATGTTCCAGAAAGCCTGGTTTAACACTCCCAGCCCTGCCAGAACAGCCAAGCAGCCAGAGCACGAGTCGGAAGATCACACGTGTTAAGGCAGGGAAGCAGAAAAGCATGCAGGATTCACAACAGTGGTAAATGATTAATGCTTAGGGATAGTCCTCCTTTAGGAAAGAGAGAGGATTTATATAAAGGTCACCCATGGGTAAACTCAGAGTTTTGGGTTTTGTGAAACATTCTTATGAAGTGACCCGTAAATACTGAAGGTTCCAGTCCTCAACAGTTCGTTACATTATCTTCCCGTTTCTCCAATTTAAGCAGTTAAGTGAAAGCTACATCCACTAGCAAGCAAACAAACAAACAAAAAAAAACCAAAAAAAAAAATCCCCAAAAACCCCTACTTACTCCACAATAAGGAAAAAAAATATTAAACCTTTGTCTCCTGTCCTATCTCAGCACAGAAAACAGCTTCTTGAGAAAAGACTAAAGTTAGAAAGACACTGATTGTGTTTTAGGCTTCCCAGCCTTGCAGCTGGTATTCCAGACCATTTTCAGATCATGCAGACCAGCACAGTTTTCCTGTACTGACAATTTTACAGGAATGGAGCAAACAAACAAAAAAAAAAAATAAAAGCACTAAAACCCTTCCTATCCGGCAAAGTACTTTCTACAATCTGGCACAGCTGCTGTTGGCAGCTGCAGCATTAACATTTTAAATTAAAGGAAACATTGACATTAGAAAGGGATCTAAGCTGCAAGGTAGCCAATGCAGGCATCTGCCAAGCAGAGTAGAGAAACTCATGAGGTCAGGACCTTACTTCTAAACCCCTATCTATCTACAAAATCCCCAGTCCAAAAGATTTTGGTGTTCTCAGCAATCCTTGGCAAACTCTCTCTAAAAGAAGACTATTTTTCTGACAGAAAGCAAAGATAATTCATGCAGAAACAGGCCAATTAAAGACAGTAGCAGCTGAAAAGAGATCTTGTTAGCAACACTGAGACACCAAGACTTGAAGGTGTAACAGCCAAGTCACAGCCCCCATACGTTCTGGCAATTATATTAACCTAACCCCACTTCCCATCTAGGAACCCAGAATGTAGCTCAATTGCTGACTCAGCTCCGAACTGTTGTCTTCTTCCTACAGCTGATTTGCCCTTTGTTACAGGCAGTACTGTTTCCAGTAAACACATTAAAACCTCTTTGCCAGAAGACAACTGTATTCAGTAATAACGATATGACTCTAAGAAATATAACACATACTCAGTACCAGCATTACACTCTCGATTAAAATGCACCAATTGCCAAGAAGCTGGCTCTCTTCATGGCATACTGTTTTGGGCTACTTGCAGGTGTATTTTATATTCACTCCCACTCTTCTATAGAAAGGCTACATACTGTGGCAGCCGGAGTGTAAACTCAGATTCCTTGACAATGTTAAGACAGACAGGCTCAAGTTCTTAATCCTAAAACAGGCCTACCAAGACCAAAACTGAAACAAATTGGCTACAGAGTCCTCTCTGCTTCTGAACAAAAGCAGCGGGATTTTAATAAGCAACAGAAACCTTGCAAATACTAGCACGAACGCTAGCACCAATCAGGTATCGAAGAAGAGCTGTTTGGAGCAAGAGTCAAACATTTCCACCAAAGGAAATACCGGTTTCTAGCACACATCTTGCAATTAAACCAAAAGAATAAAAATAAAACCATATTAAACAATGCGGAAGAATAAAGAAACCACCACCTTTCACCCACCACCATGGAAGGAATCGAGCGATCAACACGATGTCACCATAGACAAGCACAGATTTCAGATACTAGACAAATCAAGGGCAAAAGAAAGAAAAACAGCATTGATCGTATGTTCTGATTGAAACTTCAATAAAATGCAACACATAACGCAGAATTACCATCCCCCTTATAATCCAAAATCCATAACAATAAAAGTCTTTAGAAACAGGTATCATTTACTTTTAAGAGATAATGAAGCAAAGCAGGTCCATAAGCCCAGCAACAGGAGAAGCATCATTTCTCTTGAGGGCTGAAATTGCTTAGGATAAGAGCTTGTGTGTCACTCCATTCCATCACTGCTGCTCCCGGAGAGTCTTGCAGAAACCAGAATTACCTTTCCAGGATAAACCATGCTGCCTCTCAATGCACAAGAAGCTCAAAAAATTACGACAACGTGTGCACAAGTACTGTGTTGTTGCATGTCAGTTTTGATTTTGAAATAGCTTTGCAATATGGAATTACTTTAAGGAAAGATAAATGATATGTACATTTATCTTCAAACAAATCATCCTCAGAGATGCATCCAATCCATAAAACAAATACTCTGATTACATGAAATCAAAGCTCTTATCTTCAGCTTGTGCCATTTTACTCAAGCTCCCATTCTACCCAAGATAATGGAAAAAAAAAAATCAGCTTGCCCATTTCAAAAGGCTCAAAAGACGATTCACAAGGATACTGGCTTACAGGGTTCTGCATTTTGCTAGGGATCAAGGTAAAGTACTTGGGCCCCATGATACCAAGCAAAGGGTTACAAGGCGTACCGCGGAAAAGCAGAAGGACCCAGCTCTCTCCAAGACTTCAAAAAGCTGTTCCCAATTTAATTGTTTCTTCAGCCCCTGAAGAAATTTTCTTTTGGTTGGCAGTGACTAAGCCTGTTGTCCTCATCCCCCCCACGACATTCCCAGCAACAACTCAGCTGGATCATCACTAACTTGACTGTTAACTTACATTAAAGATACAAGGATTGCAGCTCTTTTAAGTGCAGATAAAGAAACAGTCACTTGAATCATGCATAAGCAAGCAAAATTCATTTCCCAGCAAAGCAGAACATACCACTTCTTGTCTTGCTGGCTGGCTCCTGGGCTCCTTGGGAGGTTTTCTATTTCCACTAAGACTGGGGCAGAAGGAACCGCTGTTAGGACAGGCAGGTTTGGCTTTGCATTCCAGCTCTTCGGAAACAGAATATAAACATGTTAAGTTACTACACACACATTAATGAAGCGATGACACATTACACATAGCAAAACATACCACCCCTTCTCCTTATGCACACAGCTTAAGCAAGGCTGTCATCTTCCATTACTTCCACAGCACTGGATACCTATGTCCAGTCTTTTCCAGTACTGTACGAAGTACTGGGATCATAATCCAAGGCTGGTCAAAGATTTCAGTAAAGAGCTGCTGTGTTCTTTTTCAATTCATGCAGTAATGCTTTCCTTCTGTAGGTGACTTTGCAATAACGATTGGCACCTTTGGGTAGCAGGCCTTTGGACTGTCATTTGAAACATAACTGTTCTGAAAAAAAACCAACTCCTACTGCATAGAAGGCAAAAGTCTGGGCAGAGCAGCAACCTATCTACCAGTAGAGATTGAGTATTTTAACGTTAAAACAAACCACAATCCCGTTTCCACCAATAAGTGACTGTTTCTGTTGCACTCTGCATCTGAAATGCTCCAGAAAGCGAGACAGGGTCTTTCCAAACTCCAAGTCCTGTGTTCTGATACTCAGAAGGAGAGTCACTCTACAGTAACGCTCCTTTTCAGCGAAATAAGGTATTCTGTGTACAAGTACTGAGGGGACAGGTGTCTCTGATTCCATTCTCAAATTCAGAAAACACTCAATGTTTGCTAACAATGTATTCTTTGATTTGCAGGTGCATTCCCCTCTTTCAGAGAAAAAAATACTGTAACCAGGAGTCAACACAGGTGCTGATGAACTGTGCGTCCCTTTTTTTTTATGTTACTTAGCATATAGAATTAATGTCCTTTGGGTAATAACAACTCTCACACACAGGTACTTTGTGTACCTATGAAAATCTGTATCTATAAATAGCATAGTTTCTATAGTACTGGGGCATGAGGTACCTTCCTTAGTCCAGCTAAATTAACCAATTATCTTGATTGTAAATTAGTAGTTATTTCCTGGCACGCAATCTAGTAATTAGTCACTTGTAACCTTCAATAGGTGAATCACTGGATTTTAAGAACAAGTAACGCAATCCTCAGATCTGTTGAAAGACATGAAAATTGCATTTAAAAAGAATGAGAGTCCTTACTTGTGATCCGTTAGTCTGGCTGATAACAGCATTGTTTGCAGTACTGAAAGACAAAAAGAATTTAAATCAGAACCAGATCAATAAACTGTTTCTGCAGGCTGGCAGAACCACAAGGATTTTCAGAAAGAAACACAAAGTCTACCAAAGATTTTTCCAAAGTACTCAACTGTTCTCAGTTAAGAAAGAAAACTTTAAAACTTATGGTTTAGGTCAGCTGTCTCATTCTAGGTAACTAAGGGTATGACATTATTTTTTATTTGTTCAAGCTGTAGTTTATTTGTAATTCATCTGATTTTTCTTCTTCCTTTCCTACATCAGTTTAGTTTAGAAAGTCCTTCTGATTCAGCAGTAAGGCGGGGAACTTTTAAAGCAAAAATGATACAGTTTTAGCTAAACAACCAGCAAATTTGACATTGTCAAAACCTCACCTACACGCTGTAGATACTATGCCTGTTCCATAGCTAGGACTCTCCTGATTTGCAATCAGAAAAATTCATGAGTTTCTTACACATGCAATCCCTAATGGACTGCATTACTGCTTCAGAGTCTTAAAGGCAGCCATTCAAAATTACGTACACAGCAGCTCAGCACAGCTTTAATAATAATTGTATATTAAATATTTAATATATTTAATAAATCAAGTAAAAGCCATATCCCTGTTTCTGAGGATTTCTGAATCTGCGAGAGACATTTCACATTATCACGTTCTTGAGACTTAAAAGCACTAACACACACTTAAAGCACAATAATTATGCATTACAAATCTCATGCACAACAAAATTTTTTTCAGACTTCTAATCTTAAAAAAAAAAAATGGTTCCAGTCTCCTATGACCCATTAATCTTTTTACTTATGGTCTGGACAATAGCTATCCAACCTGGCAAGCTGACAATTCAAATAGATTTTTGAACCTATTTCAACAATTCTTTAGAATTATTTTATTTAGACACCACAGTGTCAAGACCAAATAAGTTGTTCTTTGCCGGTTTCTCAACCGAGAGAATATGGAGGTTACCACAGAACAGTGCACCTTTAACAGAAATATTACGGAATGCCTTCTGGGTAGCACATTCCCCTGTGCTGAGTGAACACAAAAGAATGGAACAACATACATCTTTCATGATGCATTTCAATTAGCAACACTGGAGCGCAGAGTTTCAGAAATGGCATAGATTGCTCTGGAGACTAACATCACAGAGCCACACCTAGGCGCAGATCAGCAGACCGCCATCTTATCAGAGGGAGAAACTGCATGTGAAGTTTCTCTTCCCACTCTCAGAACGACCTAAGCAGCACGAAACTCAGAGAAGGGCATGACAACACAGCGTGAAGAGAGTAGTAATTAATCAGAGCCACATTTTGCATGCAGAGGACCTTCAAGAACTTTAATGACACGCAGTTTCGCAGAGTGCTTTCCCATTTTATAAAAAGAAAAGGCAACACAGCAGGTCAGAGAGACCTCCACCACCCTAACTGCAGCCTTGTCCCCACACTTCCTCGACTTCTCCCCTTCTCATTCAAGAATCAGCCCTGCTGCTACAAATAGAAAACGTAAGGCCGTATTAAGCCTGTTGTTTTGAAATGTTACTTCGTCATTTCCTACCCAGCTCCTGACTGTCATGATGCCTAACATCTACAAGTATCTACTTTTTAAAAATAATTTGGTTGCAATTGACCATTGCAATGTTCAGAAGTTATTAGGGCAAAGAACAGAAACCAGAACTGAACGACTTAGTTCCTTCACTGCCAGGTAATTCCTTTTAGCCTGGTTTCCTCTCTTCCCTTCAGGAATGGTACGAAAACTGTATGATTCGGATTCACATGAGTACCTTACATTGCAACAGCAAGTATGAACTTACACATGCAGAAAGAATCTAGGTACAGACATAAAGAACTAAAAGACCTCCCTCTCAATTTGATCACGTTGATCATGTTGATCATTCCAACCCTGGAAACATTCAAGACCAGGCTGGACAGGGCTCTAAGCAACCTGATCTAGTTAGCGATGTCCCTGCTTGCTGCAGGGGGGTTGGACTAGATGACCTCTAGGGGTCCCTTCCGACCCAAAACTTTCTATGATTCTATGAATAATTTACTATAAATACCTAAAAACACTTAAGTATATTAATACAGAATAGAAAAACATCAACTTCATTCAAATATTTATTTTACTCTATTTTCCTTGTCTCTGATCTTCACTTGATTATGTATTTCGGTTACACAGCCAGAGTAGGCAGATTTCAGAAAGAAGACATCCTCACATGCTTTTACCGGATCCCTTTACATGGCAGCACACAGAACTACAGCTCATATCCAGCAAGAACCACAGCTACTCAGAAACAAACCTCTAGTAAGCAAGTCTGGCAACATCTTCCATGCGACAGCAACACAGGAGCTTTGCTTTGAACAGCAGGTTTTATGTAAAGCAAACACACACAAAACCCACAGCAAAACCACAGTTAAGAGGTTAACACTCTATATTTAACTAATCTTACAGCCTCCTTCTGCAGACACGTGAACAAGTACAGTTGGCAAACATCAAAGAGAAATTTAAATACTGGAATGCATCTTACCTTGTTTCTTCAAGTTTAGCACCATGTGCTGCGAATATACAAAGTGTTAATTAAAATTTAATTTTTAGTTATAAGTTAAATACTGAGTATATTAATAAAAATAACCTAGCACTGCCTAAAAGTAGGCAACTAAAAGAGCAAAAGTTGCATGTATCCCATGTACAATGTGTGAAAAATAAAATTCTAAATTGGAAAAATAAAATTAAAAAAAATCTCAAGAACACACCAAAGAGTTGGATTTGAGCAAGTATCTGAAAGCATGCATGGAGGTCACGCGTGACCTAAACAAGAGTGGCAGCAAGAGACAAGGTATCACATGCTGTCAAGGTTGTGACAACAGAGAGTAACTCCCGAGAACAATGAAAAAAATCTCTGTGACAAAAATTTCAAACTTGATTAATAGATTCCAAATATTATCATTAATATATCATTATATATGATCTAACGATTGATATATACTTTATCATTATTGTATATTATTATAATATCTATTAGTAATATTTTACATATATTAATATTATATCGCTGTTTCCTGGACCCAAATTTTCCATCTTCATGCAGAGACCTATTGCGCAATATTCATGGATGGTTCACCTGCTAGGCAATCTAGAATAAACTGCCTTGGACACAAGTTTCTTTCTGATAAATACATACCGTTTCCCAAATAAGTAAAAGAAAAGCTAATTTCGAAAATTCAAGAGAAGGGCAAACAACTACAGAAGAATTCCTACACAGAGCCTTTAAAGGATATGATTACTTGATTCTCAGTGGATTACGCTTCTCGGAATGGAAGGTCTTTTACCTTTCATTTGCAGTGTTCGTCTCGAATATCTCTTACTGGGCCTTCTTTCAAAGGATGCTGATCTCCTGGCTTTGTTGGTCTTGGTGGTTTGATACTCTGTTTTCCCACTAACAATGCCACGTAAAAGTACAAAACAATGAAATAAATCACGTATTTGTAAGGACAGAATACAGACACTGCTCATCAAAATACCACATTTCTATTTTAAATTCATAGCTTAATAACCTGATCTTAGTTCTATCAAAAAATCCCCAACTTAACACCTCAGAAGGCCTTTCACAAAAAAGGGAAGTTTTACAAACATCCTCATATTCACTCCATTTTCCCAAGACAAAAAGCTGAAGCAATGACTCCTTAAACATTAAGCTGCCGAAAAAGCACATTTGCCCTTTGCATATTTCTGAGGTCACAGTGCATGCAGCTTGGGAGAGGCTGAAAATTCTATGAGAGAGTAAAACTTCAGGTATGTTGCCAAAAGTCATACAGAAAGATGATAATAGGACTGAAAACCAGCATCTAGATGCTCTTGTTCCCAGGCATGTCTTTTTTGCCCAAGTTTGGCCAGACTCTGCTCCCAAGGCAGCAGCAGCCTCCTCTTCTCCTGACTCCTTGGTACCCTTGATCCCTCCCAAAGCAGACTCAGTGATGTTGCTGCAGTTGCTGGAAATGGAAGCAAAGTACACGCATACTGCCTGGGGTCACACCTCAACCCCTTCCACATGTTCTCACCAACGCTGGTGGGGCAACTAACAGCATCCTGCAGACTAGTCTGGGACCACAAGCGACTCGGCAGCCTGCTGTACACACCGGTAGTGCCTAACATGGAATGGGCATTATCTTAGGCTTCTGAAGCAGTACCATCACTCCAACAGTCAAGAACTCAGGAGTCAAAAGACTCGCAATGTCCCTAACTTTGCAAGTCAATCATCCATCCTCTCTGGTTCATTTAAAAAAGGGTGGGCTTTTAAGATGAAGTGATCTATAAAACACTATGCACTATATATGCTATGTAACGAACATAAACCTTAACAAACTTTTGATTTCTCACTGCACAGACCAGAATTACCTGAGGAAAAATCAGAAAACGCATGGGGGAAAATCTGTATGATTTAATAAAAGCAATAATGCAACTCACTCAGCTTGCACATTTCCCTGCTCTGTATGTCCTAGGTGAATGAATACCAAGTTCTCTCATTTCCACGTATAATCCAAGAAAAGCAAGAAACGACGGAAAATACGCATTAACTGACAGGTGACACTGACCTGTATCGGAACCGGGATCCCAACCGAATGAAGCCCGATCGACTTGAGCCTTTTTGGACAGGACCTCGGAGCCGGAAGAAGGCATGATGTTCTACTGCACATTTCCACAAGTGTTTGCAGGCTTTGGGATGATCCAGTCTAAAGACAAAAGTGTGCTCCTGCTCCTTTCCCTTAAAGCACACAAAGCACACTGACGATTTACAAGGGACTTTCATAAGCCAAAGCTACAATTCGGTGCAAGCCAAAGAAAATTTGGTTTTTATGAATACTGAAATGTATGTTTAAAAAAAGTATTTCAGGCAGAAAAATCAACCTTCTCAGACGCTTTCATGAACAACTGCTCCATTGTCTGAGGTTGGAGAAGGCTAGAGCTCAAGTCAAACCTCTGAATAACTACAAGTTAAAGACATCATTACAATAGGAAGGTACTTCTCTATGAGGCTAACATGGTCTCACTTCCAAATCTGATCTTCTCAAATTACCAATGATCACATTTTTGTTATCTCAGCTCTGAGCAACTTCTTCCCATGGGAACAGTTCCGGCACCTGCTCAAGGAATTCATTCTACTAAATGTGGTACATGGCATTTTTTTAAACTTTCTTGCACAATGCACACTGTTTCCAAATTATCTCATATACACTAGTTTCACAAACTACTCCCCTTTTAAAAACAGTGTGAGGGAAAAAAGTAATTGAGCTTCTTTATAGTTAAGTCGCTTCATTCCCCTCCTCATCCTAAGTCACAATCAAAACTCCTGCAAGGCATCCACGTTAATTCTCAAAACTTAAAGAGCTCGGTAGTATGTAAACTAGTACCGCATACTCAAGACTGAGATGTAACTAAACAGATAGTTATCTACCTGTTCATCATCTTCAACAACAACTAGAGTGAGTTTGTTCTTCTTGAAGTCAAGCCTTGTTATCTTTGGCCTGCAAGATGAGCAGAAAAAGCAGGTTATGTCTAACTCTCTTCGCAACTCACCGAGAGGTACATCCGACATGCTGATCCAAGCCTCTCTATCAAACTTTTTTTTTCTGGTTTTGTGGGTGTTTTTAAGTTCATGCAGTAGGTCTTGATTATACTGTGGATACCAATGTATCACTTCAAAAATATAACACTTAAGTAGAAACTTTAAAGATAAGAAGTCAGCAACTTCTAAAGAGATAATTTTATTGGAACTTAAAATAATAATTACTTGAACTGAAATCAAACTCCACCCAAACACTCCTGCTTGCCTACTCTCCCACAAGCCCACAAAACAACTCAAAAGACACAAAGGAAGGCCAAAATAATTCTACCAAGAAATGTAAATCACTGTACAAAGTATCACAGATGAATTCCTATGGTGGCTGTTTCAGAACATCCCAGCCAAAGAGAACAGCACGAACACGACAAGACACAAAAATGCAATCACTTTCTCCCCTCCCTGACCACCAAAAAACCACCCAGAATTGATGGTGGAGGGATGAGACACACAGATAACATCTCTGCTACAAAGTGCATGTTTTTCTGAGGAGTTTCTAAAACTGAACTGGGCTTACTCAAACTATTCACATGACAAAATTTCACCTCATCATCTGCCTACTTACTCTTTGTACACAGTTTTGAAAGACTGGATGGGAATTACAGAATAAAGAACTTAAAAATCCATAACTGCCTGTGTACCCACACCCAAATATCCTAAACAGAAGGTTCTCCATCTAGTGTTTTACACAATATAAAGTCCTGCAAAATTTCACCAGAACACTTCTAAGAAACCGCGCGGTGTTATTCAGGTATTCGACAGATGAAGCAGCACACTCTCATAAAAGCCAAAGGAAGCTCTATATGCTCTGACTATATATAGATCTGGGGTGGGGGAGAGTGTTTGCGGTTTTTTGTTTGCTTGTTTGTAATTAGCCCTTACTGATGGGCAGAAAGGGACATTTATGCCCTTCACTGGGCACAGAGACATTTTCTTAACGAAGAGGGTGCCCAGATAACATTGTATGTAAAAACTGCACTAGTACTATTGTTTCTGCCTCTTTTTAAACAGTAACATATAACACTCGGCTAGAACACCTGAAGAATCTTCATTTCACTGACAGGGTGCATACACTGTTTCCACAGCAGAGTAGTGCAAAATACAACAATAAACACACTATAAAAAAACCCCAAACATCCCAAAGTTAGTCCACCTTTTACTTGCCTCTAGCATATTGCATATGATAGAATCACAGAATGGTTTGGATTGGAAGGGACCTTTAAAGGTCATCTAGCCCATCCTCCCTGCAGTGAGCAGGGACACCTTCCACTAGACCAGGTTGCTCAAAGCGCCACCCACCCTGGCCTTGACCACTTCCAGGGATGGGGCATCCACAGCTTCTCTGGGCAACCTGTGCCTTGGGGCAGCCCTAAATGCTGGAGTCTGTTCAGCAACCTGTTCCACTGCCTCACCACCCTCACCCACCTGCTGAGGGGCCCAGAGCTGGATGCAGGACTCCAGGTGGGGTCTCACCAGAGTGAAGCAGAGGGGCAGAATCCCCTCCCTCGACCTGCTGGTCACGCTTCTCTCGATGCAGCCCAGCATACAGTTGGCGTTCTGGGCTGCGTGCACACACTGTCGCCTCACATCCAGCTTTTCATCCACGAGTGCCCCCAAGTCCTCCGCAGGGCTGCTCTCAACCCCTTCATCCCCCAGCCTGTAGTGATACTGGGGACTGCCCCAACCCAGGTGCAGGACCTTGCACTTGGCCTTGTTGAACCTCATGAGGTTCACACAGGCCCACTTCTCAAGCCTGTCCGGGTCCCTCTGGGTGGCAACACATAGACATATACATACATATATACACAGACTATTAACGTATCAACCATGAACGTTAAAAAAAGAAAGAGCATTTTTGGACACGATGAAAACACTCATAGGCTGCAGAATATTTCTGCAGGTATCTAGTATTCACGGTGCTCTTACATCCCAAACAAGTATTTTTCTTGGCTAGTGCAAAAGAAACAGAAGAGTAAAAATCTAAAATATATTTTAGTACATAAAGAGAGCTTACCAGAAAAACAAACCAATCTTTGTGTCTCCTTCAAAGACAAGGACTCCTGTAGGTGTCAGTCCCAGGCTGTAATCATTGCCATCTCTTGCCTAATTGCCACAAAATAAAGATTATGTTCATTTTGGTGTTTGACCCTTTATCCAAACTACTCGAGTGATTAATGTAGCTTATTTGTCCAGTGTTACAACTACACACATTTCTGCTTATTCTATACAACAAAACTCTCACGCTTCAATGACCTTATGCAATGGATTTTTCTAGTCTATAACCCTTCAATAAGGCTGACTAAAGTGGAAAATTAAAGTTTCTTGATTTGTCTGTGTAATAACGACCTCCTTGTGCAGTTCTCCGCACCTCCTTCTCCACAGGAGATCTATTTTTACTCATAGTTCTTGAGCTGGTAGCTGACTGGACCCCAGCCAACTTTAATTTAATTACTATGATTTTCACATAGCTCTGAAGTTTAAATACAAACTGCAGTACATATTGCCACACCAATCACATATTTAACACAGAGCAAGTATGCTTGGACTAAAGTTATAGTATACATTTCTAGAAGCTATAAAGTGGAATGTTGATGCAAAGCCAGATCACTTGTTATACAGTTTAGATGAGTACAGTATTCCTTTTTTTAACCCCCTCAAAGCAAAACTGGTGTTGAAATACAGGACAAAGCTAACATTGTAATTTACAAAGGTCACTGTGCCATGATTAAACATACCTTGACTATGTGCATGTCTACACCATACATTTCCAGCCACTTAGCTTTGTTTAAGTAGTTAGTTTCAGCCTGTGCTGGTGTCTGCCCCCTGAAATAAATTTTTTGCTGTTAGGTGGATGCCTGAAAAAGCACAGAAAGGAAAAACTGGTATATGAGGAAAGAGGAGAATAAATTCCTGAAAGTTTCTGAAAAACCTAAACACTGCTGACACATGGTTGCTTTCATGAACATCAAGGTCACTTTTGCAAGTTTTACTCTGAAATCGCTGCTGCAAAAAGTATTGCATTTCAAGATTCTGTACCTCATCATTTTACTCAAACCTTTGAAAAATTTCATTTTTCACATTATATCCTCTTACTAAATACGATAGAGCCATATTAGAATTACATTTCTGAGCAAGACCACAGAAGCAGCATAAGCAGCATCTTTTTAATCCACTTTCTTCACAGAAAAATCAGTGCAAACAGCTGGTTAGTAGTATGCCCTGGAAGATGTAGTACCTGCATTCTTTCCACTTCTCAAAAATGGCTAGTTCCATCTCTTCAGTCTGAGTGGGAACAAACCTGAACTCAGACACTAGTTCAGGGACATGTTCAGCAGTGTTTTTAATAAACACAGTGAATATTAACAGGAACTGCTACGTACTTTTCTAGTTTATCTAAAATACTAAATTTCTTCTTGTGTTCCTCCTTCTCCTCCAGTCACGTATTTTCTGACAGGGAAATTATGGACACTGAACAAGCGGTTGTGTTGTCTGCACAAAAGCTTTGCATTAATTTTCACAAAGTGCTACTGATATATTCCTTAACAAGCTTCCTATGAATGGAAGTCATCAACACCCATGAAACTCACCTTTTTTCTTTCTTGCAGAAAGTTTTCAACATTTTTATCACTGAAGTCTCTACTGAGACTACAGCTGACTAACGTTACAATAGAATTTTGCCTTAAATTATTAAAACAAAATCTCTTGAGATTTGTAAAAAGCAAAATCAGTTCTGACACTTTTCATAAAACTATTCATCCATTCTAAAAACTAGTTTTTGGTTTTATGACTATAAATCTCCCTGTCCTGCTAAAATTACTCTGTGTCAGAGCACAACCATGCAGTTGTTATTTGTCACTCTGCTTTTCATCTAAGAACATAATAAATGTCCTACTGGGTCAGTCAATTGGCTCAGCTAGTCCACTGCTGCATGCTCAACAGGAGCAATAAGAGATGCTATTTAGAGAGCATACTGGAACACAGTAGTCAATGGGCGTGCCACATCAAAAGCACAACCTCCTTTTTCCACAGATGCTAGCAAGTGCAGCTTTTCAGACTGATGTATGCCTAAAATCCTGAAATTCACAGGTAGAAACCTGTACAAAAATGTCCTGCTTTCAGAGTCACTAAGCATTTGCTCCTCCCACTGATTTCAAGCGGCTTCTTAACGTTCAGCTCATATCCAAAAAACTAGAGATAATTCTGTAACTTGGACCTTGGGTGTCTGATATGGGCCAGTAACTGTTCTGCCTGAAAGAAAGGAACTACAGATATTTGTGTAGGAAAAAAATAGTGATGTCTCTGGGAAAACGTGGAAAAGTCACATAGATACACACAGTATTCAAGAGGTACAAAAACTACATACAACCTAAAAATCTGTTTCTTGAGTTTTGAACACTGCAAGCATAATAATAGTCTTTTCACCCCCTCCTTTTTTTTTTTTTTTAAATGCTGACTGAGGAAGTCTGTAGTTCTATAATAATTTACTCCCACTAAAACGCCTGCCTCTGCTGTTGAAAGGAATGCTGCCAAAGCCAGCTTAGGTTCCAGCTGATTTAAATAAAAGTACACAGCTGTCAGACGGTAAGATTAAAGCCCTGCTACGGGCCTCATTGTGGAGAGAGGAAAGAAAAGACCAGCACAAAAAGCAATGGATATACAGCCTAATTAGATCACTTTGTTTTTCCAAAAACTTATCCACTGAAGCCGTATCTTAAGGCTCTAACAATGCTAATATTTTTAACTGCGTAATGCGTTCTAACTGTTTTCCTTCCATACAAAGAGCAGGTTGAAAAGGCAGGTATCTTTACAGTTCAATCCCGACTTTCCACACCTACAAATGATCACGGCCATTAGTAGCTCCTGCCTGAAGAACAAAATGTGTTTTGGAAAATATCTATAAGAGAAAGGATTTCAGTGACTTAGTTCTCTCACCCAACCCTGCAAAGTAACTACAGCAGTGCATTGGTTTGGGAGATGAATGTTGTGAAGGGAATTTGTGTGACACAAACGCATGGCATATCTCCAAATTCGCTCTTCATCAGAGGGCTGCACAACAGCTTTACAGCAGAGGTTCTGGGATTTTTTGTAGACTCACAACTGCATTGAACAAGGCCATATAGCTATATCCTCCAACAAGGACCCAAAAGCCTACTTCAGCAGACGCTTCTAAAACTTCAAACCTCCCCTCTTCCTTTTGTGAGCTCCACTGCTTGAAACCACAGCAAACTTCACATTTGTTGATATCACACCCTCATCCAAACAACGACAGCCATTGGCCATGAAGACCAGTGATGTACAACCCATAGAAGCAACTGAGGGTCAGACCACAGCTCTCAGAGAAGCCATGGATGCCGGTGTCTCAGTTGGAATCAAAAGTTTAAGACAAATCCTTAACAAGAGTCTCAGGTGTCTCAAACATAGTGCTGTATAGCTGATGAAAAATATAGTATGTCGCCTCTTTTGGCTCAAGAAGGATCTGAAATACTAGCAAGTGCAGTTCAACCATAAGGGCTCAAGTACAAACATGTTTCTACAAATAAGCTGAAGCCAAAAACTGTGGTTTTTATATACAGGACTTTTCAATTGAGTGCAGAATCAAGTAATTTTGTACCTGATTTGTACAACAAACATACGGCAACGGGAACTGTGTTACTACATCAGAGCAATTCAGGAAGCCTGCAGACCCTGTATCTTGTGTGAAAGTGGACAGGTTTGCACACAAGCATCTGAGAAAACAAGTTTGGGGCAAAGCTACTTATGTTCAGAACCTCCTTGATCTCTTTCCTGAGGAATCGAGTAATTTTCTACATAAGCTCTCAGCAAAATTACAATCAAAAAGAGCTGTGTTTCACACTAGATCACTAACGTATGGGCAGAACCTATTTTCTGGATGTAACAAGGACAGACTAAAAGAGGTAATAAGAGTCTACACAAAGCTGTTCATGCAACCTCATCCTTCCCCGCTCATACCTACGCACCTTGCATGTTATAAGCTGCCAACTGGACGGCTGTGTCAAAAGGACATTCCAATCTGCCGAAAGAGAAATGCATTGTTAAAACCTTAGCTGACACTATTTAGCAGACAATTCGTATACCTGACACTAAGAAACTGCAAATGTTTGGGATAGGAAAGTGAAAAAGGATTAGCAGATTTTCAGCAAATTAACAAGAGATAAGTACTACATTATTTAAGCGTTCCGCTCCTGCTATTCATACATGGAAAAGTAGTATTTCAGAGAAAAACATAACATTACACTACTTAGAAAAACTTATTATTTATCCAAATATAAGTTTAATAACCTACGCTAAACACACTGTAATTGTTTAAAAGGATGTTTATTGGGAACACTTACTTTCCACTAAGTATATCCAGTTTCAGCTGCAGAACAAATAAATACCTGTAGGATTAAATAAAAAATAAAAGTCATTGAGTAATAGTTCTAATGTGTCACAGCTAATCAGAGGAAGTTACAGCCTGCCAAATAAAAACATTTTCTGCTCTTTACATGGGTTTTCAAGACTGAAGAAACTGCACTGCCGTCTTCCAAGTTGGGTTTGTATGCTTTGTGCACATTTCAAATGAAGCAAACATAAAACCAGAAGTTGTCACAAGCTGAACTACAGTGTTGCATGGGAAAAGAAATAGGATACCTAAGTAAGTCTCATTTTCTCTCTTCTGATCCTACCTGGGCAAAGAACAACTTCCATTTTCCACATTTTCTTCACTATTCATAGGCATATCGATCTCATGAGAGAATGAATATTTTAAAGTCTCTAAAAAATAAATGTTCCTAATATGGATTGTTTACCTAAAATCCAACCCAGAAAGCTGACTGCAAAGAGACAAAGAAATAAAGTGTAGGCTGCAGCTTTTTCAACTTGTTCACTCTTCAGAAACAGCCTTCCATCACTGCCTTGCTTCTTCAGTACTCTTCTTTCTTAGAAATTGGGCAAATATCCAGTACAAAACTCCTATCCTTTTGGGATGCAACACCAATCTTTCCAATCCAATACCCACAAGGAGTAGCCCTCTTGCTGCTTTCCTTTAACAAGAAAAGTAGTCTCATCAACTGAAATGCTGGCATCCGTGATGGCATCCCGTTTGAATCCTGCTACAGATGAACAGAAGCCCTACGCACAAAGCCAAAGACGATGCCTCTGTTTTCACTTGTGCCCGTGTCTCTTCGTACTCACATACACAGATATGAAACAGATGCAGGCAGTTTTCCTACAGGTCCCTTGGAAATCCACAAATACTTTGCCAAATCATTTATTATTATGAACCCTGGCCCCTACATGGGAAATAAATTTGTTTGCTATTGACCCTAGATATCAAAAGAATGAGCACAGGCCCCCAGTGTATTGCGGGTGTGACCAGTCCCTGCTTATCAGCCACATAACACTTGCAAACAATTCCAGTGCGCTTCCCATGCTTCGGCTGTGTTACACGGCCTCTGGCTGCTGGCGTCCGACGGGAAGCTGGCAGAGGCGGGAGCAAGCTGCACCTGTGGAAGCTGACAAGGAGCTCCCCTGGGGTCCTGCCGCACTAAGCAAAGGTGGAAGCTTCAGCAAGCCCCTCTTAGTGACAGCTGTAACTCGCAGCAGAGCTCCCCTTCCCACTGCTTCTCTAAGGGGTAAAATTGTCTGGAGACAGAAGAGAGTGCTGCCCTCTGTTCTGGGGATTAGCTAAGCAGACAGACAGGGTTTAAAAGCCCTCAGGTCTCAGGTCTGCCATGCTAAAACCTGTATAGCGAGGTCTGACTGGCAGAACTCGGGATGGATGAAAATGTTTCACAGTGGTAGATACAGATGTAGGTCTGAATTTTGCTTATGGTTACTATTTTTAAAGACAGTCAAATGTTTATTCAGGAACGTGAATGGAGAGGTAAAACATTCTTCTTAGATCGGCAGAAAAGCATTAAAGAAGAGCAGTTACAACATTATGCAAGTACGAAGCTGCACAGGGTACATATGGCTGTAAGGAGCAATGCTACTGTAATCTTCCTGGTAGCACTCCTATGGATTTGGCTGAAGTGCAGATTGAAGACACAGACATAAACCTGAACAACAAAAAAACGCACTTCAAGCTGTTACTAATGGCTGAGGGTATGCAGCATTGCAGCTACCAAGAAAACATAAAAAATTCATTTTGTCTCCAAACAGTATCATCAGCAGAGGTGACAATGCAAAGAAACGTTGCCTTTTACAACAGATTTATACTACTGACAGATGGCAGGCTGCGTTTTCTTTCAAAGCACCCCAAGTATGTCTCAGTCCAACATGAAATGCAGCATTATGAACGGATTTGTGAAACGCTTTAATCAAGAACAACTGCTGCTCACTTGATACTACAATCACACTTATCTACTACCACACATATAGTACTGTCAACTCACATCTCAACATAGTAGTAAAATGCTATTTTCCCTTTGCATAAGTTCTGCAAAGACCACAGATGTAATGAAATGTTCACTGAACTTGTTTTTCCCAAAGAGGAGCTCTAACTTGCAATTCAACACTTTTCTGCCTAAAGAGACAGGACGGCTGCATACAGTTGAAACAAAATGCACCTTAAGAAGAATAAAGAAAGGAATGATGTCTGTTCTCTTCAGTAAAAACCTCTGTCCACTGTGCATAAGCTACTCAGATCAGTTGCCAGAACTGCCTAATGAAAAATGGTGCGTCAGGTAATATAGTAAATATATAGATCTCTATATATCAGAGCTCATTTATTTCATGTGAGGTACATTAGCAACATTTACACAAAGTCACATAAACAAGCAGCTCCAAGGAATTCCCCAGAACATCATACAACTGTTTAAATAAATACCACAAAACGTTGTCCTGGCCTATTTGGATACTTCCTTCTCACATAAAATCCCTCTTACCTTGTTAGCTCTTCACGTAGATTGTTGGGCTCTGATGAGTAAAACTTTACACGAAAATGCAGACAATACGGTGGGCCAACTGCAAAGTAGAATTGATTCAAGACAACAGTAACAGTTACTGGATGAGACATTTTACTTTTTCATTACACAGAATCACATCATAGAACTTGACTGAAATTGCCTTAAGACCTTGTGGTAGGACAGAGCCAGGAATTCCTTTGTGACAGGGAAATGCATGAAAAACATCAGGGTGAAAGGACACTTAAATACATGCACAAAATAGTTATGTATATTACAAGTCAATCCAGCAGTCATATCACATTAAGTTGATTTGTCTTGCCAAAAGCACACAAATCTAGGTTAATCCCTGTATGTAAGGACTCTATCCATCACCAAGAAAGCTGAGCATCTTGGCTCTGCAGTTGACCAAACCCCCAAGCACTCTGTTGGTCTCTGTAACGCCTTTCCAGGGCTCTGGGAAATACCCACTGCTGCAACTCAGACCTCTTTATCCCACAGAAATTTAGACATATTTAGGGGGATTTAACAGACCCTTCGGTGGAAGAATCATCTCTTTTGGAAACCAAAGAGTTAATTCAGCAAAAAGATGGATTAACAGTTCTTTAAAAATGTGCAGCGCTCTGCTGATTCTTGCATCTGACAGGAGGAATTTTCTCTCTCTCGGTGCCTCCAAAACCCCTGTTGTACTAACACAGCACCACAAATCCCTGAAGACTTCCCACAGTGGAGAGCAAGGAAGTTGCTAAACGAAACTCAGCTGATGTCGCAGCTTACGCAAGCATGCACCACTGAAACAACGAGGGCGCACTAAACCCTTGTGCAGTAGGTAAGGACTTGGTGGGCCGAACAGACTCCGGCATTTAGGGCTGCCTCAAGGCACGGAGGCTCCAAGACGAGTTTTCGCATAGTCAGGATAATGATCTGTAACACTAAAGCATCTTCAGCTGCCTCGATTCTATTTAAACTATAATTAATGAGCCTCTAACATGTTTAATTAAGGACATTAGACTAAAGTAATATGAGCTACAGAGGGATGAGGTTATTAAACAATCAGCAGCTCCATGCCAAGTTTTTGTCACCGGGTCTTGACACTGCCTCCCACCACCCATTTCAACTCTCTGTGCCTCCTGTAAGTTCAATGTGAGATCGCAAGAGAAAACGGAAAGGACACTTACTTTTAACTTGCTTTTTAATGCTTTTTGTGTTGTCCAACCAATGCTGAAAAATAAATGACTTTCATTGAATTATCAATAAAGAAATCTCACAAAAAGAACAAAAAAGGAAGAAAAGCCCTATTTATTCGTGAAGACCATCTTGGAATAACAAGTAGTTTGTTAAAACAATCTAATCCAAATCTTTCACAATTCACAGCTCTCTCCTAATCCTCATTGAAGATCCTTTCACTCAAAGTCTGTAATGCAAAATGTCAGTTATGAACAACAGAAACATCCTGTAGTACCTTATTTAAAGCCAATCTTCAAGAAAGCATTATCTGCTCTAAAAAAAAAAAAAATGTACTGACAAACCACTTTAATTACTAAAATTTCCATCCTGTCAAAACAAACAAAACAATTCACACGTTAGTAGGTCAGCCAGTGACAATGTGCCAGAGAGGCATAAATCATAGCTGGAGACTCTGGCACTCAGTTGTGTGTGATGTTTACTTGGGGTGGAAGGGGAGACACAGAATAAATATTGCTGGCTTTCAGGCATTTTCTTTAGATGACTCAAGTGTAGCAACAGCAAAGCTGTCTACATCCAAACATAAAGGTCAGCTCTACCTAATTCTCCAAAATCTATTCACAGGTGACATTAACAATTGTCACATGGGAGGACAGAAGTTACTGCCTCACCTACTAATGCTAATTATAACCTATATACAATTCGTGAAGCCAAAATAATGGCTTCACTTACACTGCATACAACAGCATGTGAAAAAAAGCTATAGATGGCAAGTTGAGAGAAGCATCTACACCTATACGCTACGCTTCCTAAAATAACTGCATATACTCCCACCCCTGAATTCTAGTTTATACCAGAAATTAAAGCTGGGAAGTTAACACACAGCTAGCGGCAGAGACCTAATTCCCAGTGCTGTGCACAGTAAACAGCTCCCTCCTCCAAAGGAGGTGACTCAGTCCATCAGTAAACACGGCACCCTATGCAACATTGCTGCACTGACTCAACAGCCTGAGCAAACCACCTAGCACACTGTGTCCTGCATGGTTCACAATGCTCAGGTAACACCACCTCATCTGGTCAATCCCATATGTCACCTTGCAACCAATACAGATCAATTATACACTTAGCAACACTCCTTTCATCAAACCATGGGCCATGAAGTTCACAGCGGGCCCCACGGAGGACAGAAAAGCAAGAAAAGTATGAGAAAGAACTGTTATTTTCAGGTTGCAATGCCAAGCGCAAACACATTCCTGTCTTCAGATCAGCCCTGCCTTCTGCAGAGAGCGTGTAAAGCCAGCCTGTCACACAGCCAGGATATGCAGCGATTGATATATTAGCTGCAGATCAGAACAACTGAACCATCTACTGCTGCTCTGCACACAGCTGAAAGTGCTCTCATTAGCTAATAAAACAAAGTAGCTACAGAAAGGCATTTGAAATGTATCTAATATATGTTTAAAATAAGGCAGGAAGCTTAAGGAAGAATGAAGCAAATATTTATGTCAACTTTGCTTACCCTACCAGTGAGATGGAGTTGAGCAATTTTTGTTTCTTTAAGAAAATTATAATCTCTCTTCCTATTCCACAAACTCACTTGCTGGAAGAGATAATTCACTTACTCCTTCCTCCACCACAAAAATACACAAACTACCTACTTGGAGGCTTACAGGTGATTTAGACACAGGAATGGCAAAGAGAGACATTTCTAGGCTCCAGGGCTGGCTGTGCTCGCCTGTTTCATCTCCCTCCTGTTTTCTCTCATCTCCTCCACATTCCATGGGAAGGCAACTGAGAGGCCCGCGACAGGCACTGATAGCATTTTACTCTGCTCAGCTCTTACCCCCAGTGTCTACCAGGGCTCCATCTGCATGGTGAGGGTGCGTGTGGAAGAAGAGAAACAGAACTGCTTTTAAATAAAGGGTGAGGAAGGAAAAAAATCAACAACAAAAAAACCCCCAAACCAACACATGCATGGACACACACAGACGTCAGGAAACTTAAGATTTATTCCAAGTGATTAAAATGGAATTCAAGTGGACCTGGCAAAAAGTTTACATTTTGATGAGAGTTTGCTCAGCACAGTCTACTGCTGAAATCCAGAGATAAAAGTTTGCTAAACAAAAAGCAATATGAACAACAGACTGGACAGAGTACTGGAAGTCCTAACTAAAACAGTTTGCTGCTTCAAAAATAAGCCCAGCAACATTTCAAGAAGGTAGGGCAAACGAGTTCTTAGCAAAATAGTGAGGCTAAAACTGGTCCCACATTTTACGGAATTAATGGGTGCTACTTAGTGCAATGCTATACAAATCATTTTCAGTATTAAGCACTGCATTAGGCAAAATTCATGTGCTGTACAATTCCATTAGGAACAGCAAGTATTTCATGCTTGCAACCTGTACATTACAACTAGAAATTTGCCACCTGTTAAATGTCCAATGCCTCCTTACTAGAAACGTCCTTCCAGCATTGCTAGAGGGAAAGTCAAATAGCTCAGCAAGTTAACAACAATCTTCACCTTTCGTGTCACCAGACATGCCACGCTGTTCATTGTCAGTCTGAATCAAAGCTACTTAAATTAACAACTGCCTGTTCCCTTGGCTGCCAGATCAAGTCTGATATATGGTGGACAATCTTGCAAATAAAATCCCTTTGCCACCTCCTGCCTCTTACTGGGAGGTAGAGGGAATAACCATCAGACTAGCAATGAACAAAGAAATCACATGAAAATGACAATTCTTTCACTTCGCTAATAACTAGTTCAAGAACTTCTTTAAGAAGACAGTACTTGAATCCTAGAACCCAAGAGGTCAGGAAGAGTCTGCATTAACCTGGGTTTAGTTCGTGTCCCCCCCCGCCCCCCCCCAGTCAAACTCAAACACCTAACCACTACTCACTTAAGCAGCTCAAATGAAGGAAAAAAAGCTATCCTTCAGTTGTTCAAAATGAATCTACTGAAAACACCTTTGCAGTTAAAACAAGCAGGGATTTTTATTTTTTTATTTTTTTTTTAATTTAACTACATGCTGCTAGTTTGCCAGATTTTTTATATCATCAGGTGCAATTAGCCAGTAGGGAAATATACTTAGATTTAATTTGGGTAGCAAAAATATTATCTCCTTCAGAGCCAGTGGACAGTTCTGTCCAGAGTAAAGGACTGCATTCTTAGGCTGTTTATTTAACAGGACTCCTGAATAATCTTCGACAAGTCACTTGATTAGTCTCTGCCTTTGTTTCCAGCTGCAGATTGGGTTTCTGCTAGAATGTGCCAGCTCCTCTTTGCAAGGATGGCTGCCATCGCAACAGTTACTCATTTCTTAAAGCAATTACCTTCATTCAGCTCTTCTGGCAAAATGGAATCTTGTCTGCTTCCTTACACAGAGTGTAACATTAAAGTCCAGTTTAAACAGATTGTTATCTCTACTCTGCCTCTTTTCAGTCTCACATAGTTAAGGAAAGGAAACAAACCAAGTTTGAAATTGCTTGTAGCTGGTAGATTGTGCAGTAACAAATACTCTATCAGGTGCTGTCTTGACTGGAAGCAACCATTTGCTGGACAAAAGCAAGCCATGAGCCATTACTGAGACAGAAAAGATTAACTCTTATTTCCCCATTTCAAGATGACATAATGTTATTTGATAACAGAACAGTAAGAAGAAAAAAGTTTACCACACAGATAGTTTCACTGGTTATAACTAACCCACTGTGAATTCTTACAGAATCTTAGACGAAAACGGACATGCTTCAGAAACCACATGGCAGAAATTGAGTTGGGATACCTAAAATGCATAGTTCATTTTTTTCCTGAAGCAAAAAGATAAATGCAATGGAGCCACTCACTATCAATACACAACATCCTAGACTGTACATGCTTAGCACAGCTAACATGATTTTTATAAATATAAAATGGTATGTGATGGGCTGTCTTCTGATTTCTGTTGGTAGGAGGCATGCATAGTTCTGAATGACATCCTTCTGTCAGTGTAATGGTCTTTTCCTCCCTAGTGTAAATGTCTCTGCAAGAGCTTAAAGATGGCTTTCACTACTAGAAACTGCAGCCCAGCAGCAGCTAATCCAGCTAGTCATGAAGTTTGCTTCAGGTCCTGAACACATGCTATTTTCTCAGAAGAGCATGTTCACTACTATTACAAGCTAAGCATAAAACTCGACTGCAATAATTCTGAAAAGAAGCCATCAGGTTATAAGTGTGGTTTGGAGTGGATAACACAGTGTCCACAGCTGTCAGCTTCTTCCAAAACTTCAAGACTGGGGAGTTTTCTGCCATTGTACAAAGCTGTAGCAATTAACATGTCACCTTCAAATTGCTCTGGACTTAGACCCTCAGAGAAGTAAAGGAATATATGTCATCGCCTCCATTTCGTTATGTTGACCTCAAACAATTCAGGTATTTAGCTCGGCAGCAACTGTCTCTGCTTCCACTCTGCCATCCTAATCATGAAATAATTCTGAAGCACACTTGAAACACAGGAACAACAAGGTCATACATCTAACAAATACAATAGACACACACGGTATGAAAACTCGGATGTCTTTCTACCTGGAGGCGTTGAGATAAGTGAATACAGGTTTAAGTTGCAAGGATACAGGACAGAGACAAGAATCCACTCCTTGCCTAAGGACTGACTTAGCTTGCAGCTGTTCTTGTGGGCAGGACGAAGTACTTGGCCATAAGAAGTAACCATGTAAAACTGCACAGCCAGCAAGTGAAAGAACTGTGGTTGCTTCTGACAAACAATGCCTTGCTTCCGTTTCTTACAAACATACAGCAAACTTCACAAACAAACTCAGGCTTCCAAGAACCCTCTGCTCAAACTGTCCAGTACATACAAACACATCCATACTCTAGCTGCAGGTCTGAGTCACAACCGATTTGAGCAAATCAAAGGTACACCGCTCTTGCTAAGATTATTTCCTAAGCAGACAGTAAAAAGATGACTTTTGCTAACGAGAAAGTTGATGGCATTGGCAAAGGGAAACTTTCTCTCTCTGCAGAACAAAGAGCAAAGCACACGCTCTAGTTTTGCCCCTTCCTCTATGCATCAGCAGCATCAAGAATTTCTACATTCTGCAACACAAGGTGCAACGGGAACAAGTGAAAGACGAGAAAGGAAGAGACTACAGCATTGTAGTATGTTAAGAATGCTCAAGGTGGAATTAAACTTGGAGTCACTTAAACTAACACACCACACAGCTTCTGCACAAAACATAACCAAAAAAATGCAGCTTTCTTCCAGCATTTTTGTCAATATTAAGGTTTAACTGGGGGGTGAGGGGGAGAGGAGCATTGCTACTCACCGCCACTTGTGCGGAATCCATGAACCTTAATCCAAAGTAGTCACTTTCTATAAGGTCCAGATGATACATGATCTGTTCAAACAGGAGCTGGCCTTTGGCTTTTTTCTGGAAATGCAAAAGGATTTAGTACTTAACAGGTATGATTATTGTAGCATCTACCATCTTCTAGGCATACTTTATATTGTAATTCCAAAAGTAAGAGAATCCCAAAAATTAAGCTTCTAAAACTATAACATGGAAATTATTTTTTTCTCTCATATTTTTTTGATGGCTGCTTTTCTGAAAGGCAAATGTACACCCCATTAGAAACACACATAACATCCTTAATGGACTTGCATAATGTCCTTTTTAGGAAAAGGTCAACACTGACTTGCATAAGACAGAGTGTTAAAACGTCATCTTAATCACTGTCCCTTTTAGGCTTTCCTTACTCACCGAAGTTCAATAGAACTGGAAATACAGCTAGTACAATTGCAATGACTAATGCACTGGAAACTTTTCAGAGCAAAGTACAGCAAATTGCTTACAAATTTACTACTGTTAGATATCTAGGCAATTCATCAGTTTTGAAGCAGGTAGCAAAGCATATTGAATTAGGATATAGCATTCTATTAGCAAGTGTTTTTAACAACTGCCAGCAAAGAGTCTGGGGCAAGCCACTTCAACAAATAGTAGTTAGATAATGCAGAGTTTATAAAACTCACTTGTAGGTGCAAAAAGCCACTTCGTATGCTCATACATAATATATGAAAAAACTCAGCTTTAGCCCCAAGTAAGCATCATTTTTACAGTGATGGTCTAAAAAATTAAACAGTTGTTTTTAGACAGAAGACATGTAAATAGCACTGGGCAGTTTCTACACAACATACATTTTTCATGCTATGAACTCCTTTATCGTAATACATTGAAAGAAAAGCTTAACAGTAATACCCGAGATGTCCAAATGTAATATAAATGCATTAATAAATTAGTAGGTCAGAATATAAGTCACGGTGCTGAAAATAAGTATTTTTAAAGGCAAAGAAATGCAGAAAGGATTTATGCTTACTCTGCAAGCAGTTTAAGGATTTCTCTATTTCCATAATGCTATTGTCTTGCACTCTTTTATCTTAATATTTATACATTCACAATATAGGATATGGGCTAACTTTCTAGCATATTTTTTAGCAAGCTACTAATTAGCAGATTCAGTCCACCCCTCAAAATTCTGGGCCTGCCAGAATTTGTGTTCTCAGAAATAATCTGGTTTCATCTCCGAGTCATACCCATGTAAGTAAAGCATAATTTTTGCCACCTTCTTCTACCCTGGTCTGCAAATATTTTATATTCATCTTTGCAATCATAACCATGGGTTCACTCGTTGCATTAGTTAAACCCAACATGGCACTCTGCAGCTCAAAGTAAAATCTCAGAAAAGCCTGTAAACTGAACCTGCCTGAGCAAGCTCTCCCACAGTTCTTTGCTTCCAAGCACTGGGGAGGTGGGGGGAACAGAAGGCACCTGGACCAGCCAGCAACTTCACACACACGCAGCACCTACACAGCGTTGTATAATGAAAACGCTGAGATGCAGACCTCATCAAACTCGTTCAGGGCAAGTTTTTTCTGTTGACTTCACGAAGAAGTACTTCTCAGGCAACAGCAGACTTCTTACATACCAGCAAGGCTCTCCTAACAGCAGCCTTAAAGCAAATCGCCTACGTATAAACCCACACATTTCTTCCACTATTTGAGCCTGTAGCCTCTTTCTTGAAAGATCAAGCATTCAACAGTTGATAATTTATCTCAGCGCAGGATCTCTTCTGCTTCAGCAGAAAGATATACTAAATCAATTCAGCATTTGCAACAGCAAAACTAGAAAAATGTTTCATTTTGCATGAAGCTTTCTGCACCTGGTCTAACACCACTGAAAAATCTGCCCTTATTGGGCAGAACATTTCTGATCCTTCTCAATTCCTCACCAAGTCGTCTCTTAAAACTGTAATTAACCAGTTATCTCAGCCACACTCCCTCCCAGGGATGGGCAGCGGAGCACTTTAACTCGAGCCTGGAATTACTACATGTGCTGCTCTCAGACTATCAACAACCAAAACTTACTACTGTCTAAAATTCTACGGCATCAAATTAGTTTCACAGCGCGTTTGCCGTTTCAGTAATCTCAGCAAAGGACTCAAAGATGAAGTGGACCCAGAATGATTGATGTGGGAGAAAGTGCCTGAAGAACAGTATCGGAGCCGCTCTGGAAAAGTTTGCAGGGCTGCTGGCTGTTTTCTAATTTAATTCACCAAGGCTGTCAACACAGAATTAATTATGCAGTACTTTGCATATGACTTCAACCACCAGTGGCTGTATTTGGTGCAAGTCAGCAAGAAGTTCACACGTGCTTTAACATTTAATCCAAATTCTTTCTTAAAGCCTTGCTGGAGTCCTCCCTCCTTGCATTTAAACAAACTGCAACCAAAAATCTTATTGCTTTGTAACCGGTCAACTTCTACAAATCAAAAATTAATTTATTTATATTCAATAAAACCATGATCTCAAGTGTTTTCGAAAGACACCGCAAAGACACACTTTTATTACATTTTGTGGTGAAAAATTACCCTAACTTTCTAACGGCAACATTCAACTTCAGTGACATTTTTATCCCGCTGCTACACCAGGCTTCCTCCCCACCCCCCCATTTCTCTTCCTTGCAGCAGAGCTCAGGTTACTCTCAAAGGATAAATATTTTCAAGCTGCTTAATGTTTATCAATGAACTATTAACAACTCCACTCACAAGCAGTCCAGCCAGTGGCTGATTCTCCCTTCAGGGCAGAAATTAAACTCCTCATGGGTTTGTAATTCTGCAAAACCTGACTACTCAATTACACAGCTTGCTATAACTCTGCAGGAGGCAACAGCAAACATCCCACAGCGGCAGAATGAACTACTGAGCTGGGAAACTTATACAAAATATATCATTTATGTAGGGCATGTCATCTAGTGGTTTTGCTACACTTTGGAATGAGATAAAAGTACCTTTTGATCACTTTGGTATGAATCGTGCCCCCTGCCCCCCCCAATAGCAGCGATGCTCCCAAGTATGTCCTACTGACATCTCTCGCTGCTTTGCTGGCTGAGTAGCTGTGACGAAGGCTGGACTTAACCCGGTAGCTCAGCAGCACAGCTGGGTAAAGCCAGCTCTGGTGTCCACCTCCGCAGGCGGGTTTGTCCCTTCATCGCCGGGACAGGGTGATACGGAGACATCCACCTCGGCTCAAGCTTCTCAGTCGCTGCCTAGAACTAGAGGGACAGCATTTATACCCTCTTCTCACGGTCTCGGAGATGAAGGTTATTTCACGGACACGCAGTCAAGAGCGTAAGCCAGCAACTCAGCGTTCCACAGCTCGCCCGTCTGATGTAAAAGCCATTTTCAGCCCTAGCAGCAGCCAGCACAGACCAGCTCTGGTGAAGCAACACGGGCTTCCAGCAGCCAGGGATCAGACCCTGGTGAGGGGCAGGCACCAGCTGAAATGGCTCCCCTTTTAAGTTTTCATCACGTTTTTAATCACACTGAAGTACTTTAAACTTCCAAAACTTGAAAAAAAAATAAAACCAGAACCAAAAAGCCCAGCTAATGAATTTACTAAGTAAATGCTTAACAGAAAACGATTTTTCTCCCGTTTCTTTTCTTTCTGAAGAAAAGGAGGTCCCTACACAAGATGAACTCTGAAAAAAAAGTTGAATAGGCTTCACCTTCATAGCACGACTCATCCCTTGTGTCTTTGCAGCTGCACTTCTCTGTCAGAAGGCTTATTCAAATGATTATGTTAATATTGCTTATCAACAATAACTAACAGTAGCTATTACCTTCAGTAGCTACTGGAGGGTGAAACCCTCCCTTCCTGGTTTCTGTTAACTCAGTAGGAGAGTTACCATTCCTATTCACACCAGTTTCCTCTGAAAGACCCCGTTTATTCCTGGAGAAGCCAGGGACGCCTACTCACAGCTACCCAGCTGCTAGGGTGTCACCAGTGCAGGTCTGCAGACCACGGCAGTGCGGGAACAGCAGATCAGTATGCCCATTTTTTGTGGAGTTAATCCCCCTTCTCCCAAGTGACGCGTTTCAAAAAATAAGCCACGAAAAAGCTCCAACAGTGAGTTTTTAAAGGAAAAAGATTTAATCTCAATGTCATGAAAACAGTATCCATAGGTAACACCAAGATTTGCTGGAGAACTGGAGGGTTAAAACCCCTTATCTTTACACAGGAGTTTTAGAAGTACTCATTATTTGTATCACCCTGATCTTGTTATGGCTTTAAGTACGGACCTACAAACGGACTTGCTCCTCTCCTCAAACTCCAAGCATCAATCTTTCAAATAACTTTTCCAAACTCTCCAGTCACTTTTCTCCTTCATCTAAAGATGCTACCAGCAGCAAAACACCAGCTCTGCTTTTCTCTCTGGTTTATCCCCAACCTTTGACAAACATGCGCCATATAGTCTTATACCAAGTAAAACGCCCTGTATGCTGGAAGGCTGCAGAGAATAATTTCTGCCTCCAGAGGCAGAGCTTGTCAGTTCTTCTATTTACTCAATCTGTCCCAAATATAAGAAGATAAGCATTTCGGATTAAACATTTTGTTCTGTCATTCTCTGGGGAAAGAAAAAAGCACCTCCCAAAAATCTTTCTAAAGAATTGATTTCAATACCTATTAACAACTGTATGCTTATTAGGATAGTGTATAGAAGGATTTTAACATTACGTGCTCAGGCTTCTTGACCCTATACTTAAAAAGGTAAAGATTCGAAACATTCATACTTGTCAGTTTGTTTTGCCAGAAGTCTCTTTATTTTTCCTCTCCCAGAAAGCTTATGTCTTCTGGTCACACATTTGATTTAATCCATTTCTGAGTCTATTTCCTAACACTCTTTTTACTAAA